CCGGCCCTTTTAAACAAAAAAAAGGCCCGGGTGGATGGACAGGTTCGGGATGAATCATTTTGGTCGAAAAAAACGACTTGGGCAGCGCAGTGACTGTGGGTGCAGCAGCAGCTTTACCCTGGTGCAGCAAAACCCGCTGGCCGGGTTGCAGCGCAGCTTTACCCGGGGGGGAGGCAGCATCACCGTGGTTTTCAGCCCGCAGCCCGACTGGGGGACCCCCCACTAACCATGGTGCAGCAGCAGCGTGGGCAGCAACAGCTACTGTGGTGGGAGGGAACAGCTGACCCCGGTACGTTTGTTTTGTATTTCCCAAAATTTTGGGTCGCTTGAGAGGGTGGTATTCCTGCTATCTGTTTTTTTGTTTATTTCCCCATTAATAACAGTCTCTCAACTTTTTCAAGTTTCTTTCGATTCCCGTTTTCCCAAAAAAAAACTTGCAAAAATTTTTCAAGAAAAGCTTTCCCTTTATTGCCCTTTTGTTGGGGCCAAAATAGTAGCAAGGCTGATTGGGGGTTTTTTTTTAGAACCTGGCCCGCTCAAACACTCCACTTTCGTACTTTGCAATTATCCCCTTTCTTCATTTCCATAGTAATTTTTTACCTTTTTTTTTCCGCACGGTTTTGGGACTAGAAGCTTTTTTGGGGCCCCCCTGGTGGGCTTATTTTGCAGGACAAAACACTAAAAAAAGCTGTGGATAAAATGAAATGTTTTCCCATTTTTTGGTGGGTGCAAAAAAACTGGGGGCCCTTTTAAAAAACTGGGACCCCCCCCTGCATCTCCCCAATCCGTAGGGGGAGCTTTTTTAGCATTTGCCCCGGGGAAAAAAAATTTTGCGTTAAAATGTATGAAGGGTGGGTTTAACGTTACTTTAGGGTCCACTGTTCGGGCCCCCCTTTCTTTGTCGACAATTAAAATTCCCCCAAAAAAAATTTTCCCCCAAATTTTAACCCCCAAAACCCCAACTCCCCATTTACTAACTCCCCTACTCTGTTTTTAACTGACAAATCCATTCTTCACTTGGTTTCTTAAAAATTGTTTTTAAATCACTCCCAAAAAATTTTTTTTTATTTTCATTAAAAATTTTTGGGAGTGCCTCCCCCACTTTTATCCAACTGCTTTCCTTTTGCACCCCTCTCACCACCTCTTTACCCTTTTTTTGTAAATCCCCAAAAACTCTACTCTTCATATAATACTTCTGCTTTGTAAAAAACCTTTTCATAACTACCTTTTTCTTTTTAACAAAACCCCTTTTTTTCATCATTCCCCAATCACTCCCCCTTTCCTCCTGCACCCACCCTCCTATAAAAACCCAAAAATTCTGCCCCAAAAATTTTTAATCTGCTTTTTTTAAAAAATATTACAACCCTTTTTCAACCTCCCCCAAAATTTAACTTGCACCACCCACCTTTCTGCCAATAAATTGTTATATTTTTTTACCCGAACCCTCCCCCTTAGTTTTTTACAATTTCACCTCATCTTACTTTTTTGTTGCCAAATTTTTCCCTTTCCCCTCTTCCCCTTACTCCAAATGTAGCTACAATAGATAATATCCGATATATCAGCTGCCCCTCTATAAAAACGCACATCCCGGAGCCTACCCTCAACCTTTTATCCACCAATCATAATCTACCCCAAAATACTTTCATTACGTCTTAAAAATCAAAAAACATAAAATAAATTTTTAAAAAAGACCTTCAAAGGGGCCCTCACTAAATGGGAGGTTTACCACAACATAGAGGGAAAAGGGGTGGCCCCCCCTATACCTGTTACTAAAAGGCATATTTTTTCATTCTAAGTATATTCAGGTTTCTGTGTTATTTAAATTGTTTCTTTTTTTTTCCCTATTGATGGGGCTGTGATAGATAAATAAACCATAAGTTGGGCGATAGCGAAATATTCAAGGGGGGGATTTTGTCCCGTCTCCCGACAAACTCTTTATCGGCCGCCACCCCCCCGCTGCCACACATATAAAGGGCAAAATTTTTTTTTCATTCTAGAGTTTTATATCAGGTTTCTAGTTATTTATATTACTTTTTTAATTTTTATTGTTTTATTTTGATAGATAAATAAGCCATATAGATTTATATGGGCAAAAAATTTTTCAAGAAGTATTTTTTTCCGGTCTTTCCCAAAAAACTCTCATCCACCACCAACACCGGGCCCCTGCCACTACATGAATTACAACAGTTTTTTATTCATTTTTTGAGTATAAATATTTAGGTTTTTTTATTTATTTATATTTTTTTCTGTTTATATTGGATGAAGTAGATAAAAATAAGCAGTAGAGGGATTTAGCGAAAAATTTTTGGGAACACAGAAATTTCCCCTGGAAAAGGAAATTTAAAGCATTTCAATTACAGTGGACCCCCGCCCTAGCGACCTTTTAATTCCTGCAAGAGGGGGCTGGTTAATTGGGGAAAATTTTCGGTTTTTTGAACGAATTTTTCCCCCTAAGAAATAAGGAAATAAAATTTAATTCCGGGGAAGACACCCCCAAAAATATGAAAAAAATTTTTTTTTTTACCCCATGAAATGTTTAAAATTTTTGTACCCCCAAAAAAAACTGAAAAAAGGGATGCACAATTACATGCACTTTCTTTTATTTAAGATTGGGGGATTTATTGTTTGGGGTGGGAGGAAGGGGGGGGGAGAGTGTTAGTGGTTTAAAAGGGGGAACCCCCCTTTCCCTTAAGGGCTTGAGGGTCCCCGGGCCCCTTTTTTGGGGTTTTCTTTCCCTTTTTGTCAGCATATCCACCCCTTTTGCAACAACGGCACACTTCATTTCCTTTCCTTTCGCCACGATCGAACTGATGGTTGAATGGGGCTTGCCATACATCCTGGCAAGCTCTGTAACACGCACTCCACTCTCATATTTTTTAATGATTTCCTTCATGAATTTGATCGTGTTCCTCACTGTCTTTACCAAATGGCTTGCACTAGCTTTCCTTGGGCTCATGGTGACTTATTTAGCAGTTGTAATCACAAAATACAATGGATTATTACGTATGAACCCGCGAGGTGATGGTCACGTGTTGGTAAACAATGGCACACTGAGTGTGAATGGCGTGGGAGACTGGCTTTGTGTGTGTGGTGACGGGCGGACGGGTATCAGACAGTCGCCGAAACACGAGTTTTCTGACGAAACTCGAAGACAAATTTTTCCAAAAAAACTCGTCGAAGGTCAAATTTCACGAAAGTCGAGGCTGCCGAAACTCGAGGGTCCACTGTACATTGTACTGGAAATACCATATGTAAAATATACTGTTCATATATTGTACTGGCAATATCATATGTACAATATATATTGTACAGGCAATACTATATGTACAATACACATTGTACTCATAATATCATATGTACAAAATATACTGTACTGGTAATACCGTACGTCACATGTGTAACATCTGGGTATCTTTATTGTAGATGTTTTGCCATCCAGTGCCTTTATCAATACAAATTCTAGGACATACTTTAAAGACAGCAGAACTATACACAAAAGATAAGGTAATCAGTCCCTCAGCCTTGGAGTTGGTGTGAAGAGCACCGTGGTTATGGAGATTCTGAAGCATGGGCAAGGAGGCTGGTGCTTATATACTAATGCCAGGTGGAAAGGGACGTGTAGCAGACGAGGGCATAGTCACTGGTAGGCGGGATTCCCCAGTGGAAGTATGTCAGACCCAAAGAAATGGGTTACTTGTAGTAGTAGTTGTTATAGCCGTGAAGTAGGTTATGTACATGTCCTCAGAATCAAGATTCTATGATGTTGCAGTGTCTGACAAGTTCTACAAGAATGGTATGCAATACCGACATGATGATATTTAGACACACGTGCAACATCTGTTGCATGTGGCTAAATATCACCTTGTCGGTACTGCATACCATTCTTGTACAATACCGTATGTACAATATACCCATGTCAAATGCAAAAGGTGCAGTTCACAAAACATATTTAAGAATTTATTATGTAAATTAAATGTCAATGGCCTAACTGAGTTTATTATAGCTGCCATTTGCCTGGAAGGAATATACTGCATAAAGCAAGGGACAACCATATACAATACTAATTTACAGTAGTTTGGAACCCAACATTTTTCATTAGCAAGGGCTACTGAGATTTCACATTAAAAAAAAAAAAAGAGCAAATACAGTAAGTCCTCACTTAACATCGTTTCATCTTAGTGTTTTTTTTGTTTTTTTTTCAACAAGTCGGCCGTCTCCCACCGAGGCAGGGTGACCCAAAAAAGAAAGAAAATCCCCAAAAAGAAAATACTTTCATCATCATTCAACACTTTCACCACACTCGCACATTATCACTGTTTTTGCAGAGGTGTTCAGAATACAACAGTTTAGAAGCATACACATATAAAGATACACAACATATCCCTCCAAACTGCCAATATCCCAAACCCCTCCTTTAAAGTGCAGGCATTGTACTTCCCATTTCCAGGACTCAAGTCCGACTATATGAAAATAACCGGTTTCCCTGAATCCCTTCACTAAATATTACCCTGCTCACACTCCAACAGATCGTCAGGTCCCAAGTACCATTCGTCTCCATTCACTCCTACCTAACACGCTCATGCACGCTTGCTGGAAGTCCAAGTTGACGAGAAAAAAAAAATTGATTCTTGGCTGGGTCAGTTGTCTGTGTGAAGTTTTCTCGTTTGTTTATAAACTGCCGGTTGGTAGGTGGCACTTCTTATAATTTTTGCTTAGCAAATATTTATTCCTTGATTTAACCCTGTTACAATGAGTGCTAAAGGTGCACCATGCACCCGTATGTTTATATCATTTAGCCTATGGTAAAATTGGTTTCATTATGCATCGTTGAGCTTAAAGTCACAGTTTTCAAGACCCTATTGATGACATTAAGTGAGGACTTACTGTACAGCATTAACATTCAACCATTTGGAGAAATGTTCATTTTGTAAAAATTTATCATTTAGTTTGCTGCACTTGTTCCATCACATTTCAGTAGCAAGACAAATAATGCACAGTACCTCAGTTCGATGAAGAATATGACTAGGATACAAGTCCAGGGAAGGATTCACTCTAGCCAGGTGTCTGGATATACCATGTGACGAGGTGACGCTGAAGGTGTCACTCAGGGCTAAACCGGTTTCTTCACTCCACTCCACTGATATACCAACCTTAGAACAGGTTAAAATTGCCCCTGTAAAGGATAAAATATTTCCTAAGATATATCTAATTCCAGTACTATAGTACACTATAATTCCAGTACTACAGTACACTATAAATCCAGTACTACAGTACACTATAAATCCCATATTACAGTACACTATAATTCCAGTACTACAGTACACTATACATGTAATCGTTTATCAAATATTGAACATAACTTTGGATATTATTAAAGACTGGAAAATAAGAGGTCACTCCTGGGATTACTATGGGATTTGTATAAAATATTTAAAGGCCTCCCCTGCTACCACTCTAGCTATACCACTGCTAGGCAGGGGTGGTGCCAGAGGAAAAAGTAGAGCCCCAAAATTCTATCAGCCCCAAAGCACTTCCAAATAATAATAATAATAATAATAATAATAATAATAATAATAATAATAATAATAATAATAATAATAATAATAATAATAATAATAATAATAATAATAATAAATAATAAATAATAATATTATTATTATTATTATTATTATTATTATTAATAATAATAATAATCTATGGTTTGAGCTTGCTACCACCTGCAGCTCACACGACTGCCATCCCCACGAGCCCCTTTGGGGCGGGGCAGATGGCAGACCAGAGGCCTAGCTTCTCCCTACAAGCCCCGTGAGGGCGGGGACTGTGGCTAGGCCTGGGGACACTTGGTCCTAAAGATGAGGGGGTACTTGTACCTCCTCCCATGGGAGACTTAGGTCTCGAGATACTCCCCAGATAGGGAGCCAAGGCCGGGTCACCACTACTTGGAAAAGACCCGAGCCGGGAGAATACCGGCAAATAAGAAAAAAAAAATAATAATCTCCATGGGGAAGTGGAGAGGAATCCTTCCTCCGTAAGCCATGCGTGTCGCAAGAGGAGGGAGCAAAGTTCCAGTAACCCCTCCTCCTGTATTAATTACTAAATTTAAAAAAAGGAAAACTTTTCTTGCTTCTTTTTCAGTTAACCTGCCTTGGTGGGAGATGGCCCATGTGTTAAAAAAAAATTAAAGGACTTTATCATTATTAAAACTAATACAAAAGAATTATGAAAGAAATACAATTTTTAAAGATTTACATATTTGTGAAACAACATGCAGTAATAGCTTGTACTGTACTGAACTGTATTCACTATGTACATATGAATAAAATGTCAGAGTTAGCAACCAAAACCAAAAGGGATATTGGATTTGTTTGTGTCAAAAAGTATATAAGATACTTATGTGTTGCATTTCAGAATTATTGGAGTTCATGGAACTCCTCAAAGCAGGATTCAGTGCAGTATGGCATTTCACAGGTTTTACACACACACATTTGGTGCCCCTGTATTTCAATAGTTTCTTGTCATGTCAACAAACACCTAACACCTCTTCTCCACATGTTTCTTTACATCCATGGTAGGAATGGCTGTTAGGTAGTGCTTATCAGGCCCTAGACAAGTGGTAATTTGGATGTCTGTGCAGGGGTGCTGTGGTGCAGGAAGTGTAACTGGGTATCTAGCGATGATTTGGATTACAATGGCAAAATTTAAGTTATCAGCTGGTCTCTTGCCAGTCTTTACCTGATACATATTACATGCACTGAATATGGCAATACTGACACTGGAAAAACAGTTTGGTTTACCATTGGAAACTCCTATGCAGAATCCATAAAACTAATCTATCACATAAGTCCACTAAATGTATGTTGTTAATGGAATCAATTACAATCACAGCAGCTAACTTCATAACAGGTTCAACCATGCCTCTTTCTTCCTGGTAGGTTTCATTTCATTTAAATAAACAGTGGTCAGTAGTCACAGCCCGCTTATCATGCAATGTTGTTGTCAATGAAAGCATACACCTGATTTTCCTAGATAAGTACACATCAGACTTGGACATATGCTTCCTCATTCCTTGAAATGTACCACAAACATCTATATCATTTGTTCACAGGTAGTGACGTCCAGTATACAATGAATAATGCATGTCCCTTATCCATGAGCAGCTCGATCAAGTGCTCCCAAGTAATTTTTGGGTACATCTTTCATTGTCCACTCTATGTCGCTCTCACAATCACATGTGGTGAATAATTTGAAACAAAAGCAGTTTTCTTTGCTAGGTATGTGCTGTTTGAATGACAACTGTCCCTTGGACAATGTCAAAGACTCATCAATCACAATGTTTTTGAACAGGTAGAAAAACTCATTGAATTTGTTTTCATATAGGTACAGTGGAACCTCTGCTTACGAGTTTAATCCGTTCCATGACCTTGCTCGCAACTAAATTTGCCTGTTTGCAGAGTCAATTTTCCTCATTTAAATTAAATGAAATGGAATTAATTCGTTCCAGTGGAATTCCAGGCACGAGAAAATACTTCAATAAGTTCCCTAACATCAACTCTACAGCTTATTTATCTATCACAATTCATGTAATATGACATAATAAACAATATTAATAACATTGAAACATGATATATACACTAGAATGAATAAAATACATGTCATTAGGTATGTGGGTAGTGGTGGTGACAGCAGCCATTAATGTTGGAGTTTATAGGGCCACCACAGTGGCCATTCCTGCTCCTGACTACATGCGTAGAGAGCCTAGGATAACCCAAAAAAGTCAGTGACATAAGTGCTACACTCTTAATGCTACACTTAATTGCTACACTCTTAATGCTACACTTTGCCATGTTGTCTGCCACTGCTACCTCATGATGTCTGCCACTGCTGCTTCATGTTGTCTGCCACTGCTACCTCATGTCTGCCACTGCTGCTTCATGTTGTCTGCCACTGCTGCTTCATGTTGTCTGCCACTGCTACCTCATGATGTCTGCCACTGCTGCTTCATGTTGTCTGCCACTGCTACCTCATGTTGTCTACCACTGATGTCCCCAAAGAATTGAACATTTCTGCTATTCTGAGCTCAATTTCAAGGTACTTTTCATCGTGAAACCAATTAAAATCATATTTATTTTTGTAGCATATCTTCCATTCTATCACATGAGACCAAATAAAACGAGAATACAACCATAAAAACCATACGAAAATATACCGCTAAGGGGAGGCTAATGGCTGAGAAGTGAACTCCGTTATTTATGGTCCGATTTCTTTCATTTTTGGTGTACGTTAAGAAGCATCTTTTCACCATACATTGCCCAAGTTTCAATAAGATAGTCTACCAAACAACTGAGATCCAATTTCCTAGATCAAGAGCAAGAGCCCCCTCACCAGTGTCAATTAACCTCCCTGGAGGCCCGCTCTCATCTGGAAATTTTACTCGCGTCTAGAAGCAAAAAATCGACCAAGCAGCTGCTCGTATCTGGAAAAACTCGCACGTGGATGCACTCGTAAGTAGAGGTTCCACTGTATATGAAGCTTCCCTGATTTTGAATATGTCTTAGTTAGGATTTGCTTTGGTAGAGAAATGCAACAGCAACAGGAATAAATTTTGGGAAATAAGGTCACCAAATGGGGGGGGGGAGGGAAAAAAAAAGTACATATGAGTGTTTGTCCAACAGTCCAGTATTTAGCAATACAGTGGTACCTCGGGATACGAACAGCTCAAAACACAAACAACTATGCAAGTGTATTTATGTAAGTGCTTATGTAAGTGTATTTTTTGGGGGTCTGAAACAGATTAATCTAATTTAAGTTATTCCTTATGAGAACAAATTCGTTCAGTATCAGCACTCCAACAGCCTACTGGAACAAATTAAGTTCGTATCCCGAGGTACCACTGTATTGTTCTGGACGTAACAGATGTGAAGAACACATGCATTTCTGCCACAGTAGTCTCCTTCCATTCATGCAGGTACGACCATGTTGAAACAAAGGTGTTAGCCATTGCATACAGTACCCATAATAATTAATATGAATTTGTTTGCCACATAATAAGCTACAACAGGGCATTATCAAAGAAAAGCTCAAAGAAATAAAGTTTGTATGAGTCACAAAATATAGTTTTATTCTGCTGTTCGTGTCATCAAAATGGCATGGACTGGGAGCAAACATGCTGTCTTCCTGCCATTTCCATGTGCGGTCTGGTGGATGTGGTGCAGTTGTAGCTGAAGATGGTGGTGTTCAAGATGATGGTTGCATTGACTGTAGTGGCCATTTTGCTAGCTCTACATCACGACCACTATAATCATCACTATCACTGTCAGATGGTTGCAAAATGCATGTTAAGTAAGTACTAGTATAGCATGTGGCACATTTCTGACCTGGTATACTGCTGCACACCTCTGCTTCTCTGGTAAATATTACATATCACCACTACACTCATCCTCACTGCTTATATCTTGGCAAAAACAATGAGAAATCTTCACATTCCCCTTGCAATGTTGGTGGTTGGCTGCTAGTTGGGAGAATCCAGAGGTGAAAGGTATCTGGTTGTCAGAATTTGGGTCAGTATTTGGGATATTTCCAGTGTCACTTTCACCCACATGACTACCAAACTTGTAGAGCTCACTATTAGGTTCACCAATAGTCAAGTAGGTAGTTTATTCTATGGAATGGACATTATAATGGCACAACATGGTAAACAATGTAATAGCTGCCAATGGCTACCACAATGCCTTACATAAACACCAGGATTGTTTCTATTTTGCACATGCTCATAACACAGACCCATTTTCCCTGATGTAGGCCTAACCTTGTTGACTGTAGCCATTTTGGAGAAGCTATAATTTAGTCAAATTTGTCATCAGCATTTTCATGAGTGGATTAAAGTTTAACTCAGCAGCTTAATTTTAATAGGTAAAATAAATACTGAATATTCAAAAATGTTTTTAAAACAGCTCTCTGAATTTGAATTATCAATTGATAACTTGTCAGTTCCATTCAATGCTAGAATAATTCTGTATTTTGGAATTCATTCATGATATATTTATAATTTAGATATGTTGATGTAGTTCCCTTGTCATAATGGTCATTGCACTGTAATGTATTAAAACACTTGATGTAGGAATTTGTTCTTTGCATGCTTGGACTTTAGTTTCACAGCCATGGCCAGCTTGTACG